AGGCGCCGAGCCCATGTCATTTTCTTAGTTATTGTTTTAAAACATTCACATTCTACTCTTAGAAAGATTCACTTGTACCCTGGTAAGATAAACCTCAGATGATGACTTTCAACTATTAACCTGCCACCCTGGAACTTGGGTGAACACACCTCACAGGGTATTAAAGAGAGGTTATGTTTTCATTCTAATAGCAAAGCAATTTTGGATGTGCTCTAGTGACCTAAATTTATTAGATTATATTTTAGCGTTTTCTGGGGACCTGTTTTTCTTGCTCACGTTTAGAGCCAGTTGGGAAATAGACAAACTGGGTAAGGCAGGTGGATGGAAAAACACCAGCTTTATTACTAATAATGCTCTGCAGCTGGCAGACGTTGCCCCGTACAGCAGGACCTCCGTGGCTGACACCTACGCCGCCCTGATTGCTGCAGCCCAGACGTGCACCAGTGGACTCAGTGCAGCTCCTCATCTTGGCCTGTTTGGTGCAGTCCCCTGGGTGATCAACTTATTTCAGAACTTCTTCTCCTTGAAGGGGAAAAATTATGAAATTGGGGCTATTTTCTTTTTTTTAATTTTTTTATTTATTTCAGATTAACACAGATGCACACACAGTTCCATTGTTTGCATTTGTAAGGTGAAGTCCAAGCTGTAGTTGTTCTTTCACCCAGGAAGTATGTATGGCTATTTTCTTAATGAGGCTCATTGAATATTAAGAGAAAGATAGTATTTTTTAAAAAATCCCACGTGTTCATTCACAATTTTATTTTTTATTCTTGCTTACCTACCACAGCATTATTTCCAGTTTTTTTTAAATATTATTTTCATTTTTTTAAGAAACAGAGTTTTGCTGTCACCCAGGCTAGAGTGCTGTGGCGTGATGATAGCTCGCTGCACCCTTGAGCTTCTAGGCTCACATGATCCTCCCTCCTCAGCCTTCTGCAAGCCACTGTTCCTGGCTCTGTTCATTATTATTTTCATACTAATCATGACTTAAAAAAAAGTTTTTAAAAGCATATATAAAAAATAGTGGAGGTATGTCAGTATAATACAGAGCAATCCTCATTTCTCCTTCCTTGATGAAGCATATATTTTCTGTAAGTACAAAATATGGTATCTTTTAGGCAGGAAATACATTTTACCCAGTAATAATTTTAGAGGTTTGGGGGCTTCCAGTATACCTACACAATCTTCTTTACTGGGAGGAAAAATTAAGCTTCCTAACTTGACTTTCAGATTTTTTGTTTGTGTCTTTGCACTGAAATGTTACATCTGAGATGCCTGCTATGTGGCCACCAAGAAAGGAAAGGTCCTGAGACATTCCAGACTGAAAGGACAGTTTATACAAAATACAAAATCATATGGTGTATACTCCATATACCTTTATTGTCTTTTAAACTTATTTTTTGTTACAGAAGTGCATTTTTCCTTTTTTTATATAGTAAAATAAATGGTCACCATTTTAAGTATACAGTTCAGTGGCCTTAAGTACATTACACTTTTTTTGTTTTGTTTTGTTTTTTTGAGACAGAGTCTCACTATGTCGCCCTCCGTAGAGTGCTGTGGCATCACAGCTCCCAGCAACCTCAAACTCTCGGGCTTAAGTGATTCTCTTGCCTCAGCCTCCCAAGTAGCTGGGACTCCAGGCACTTGACTGGTTTTTTGTTATAGTTACTGTTGTTTGGCAGGCCTGGGCCTGTTTGAACCCACCAGCTGAGCTACAGGCGCCGCGCCTAAGTACATCACACTTTTGTGCAACGATCACCACTATCCATCTCCAGAATTTCTCATCATCCCAGACTGAAACTGAGTATCTATTAAATACTGACTCTTCTCTCTCCCCCCCTTCCAACTCTGGTAACCCATATTCTGCTTTCTGTCTCTTGTAATAGTTCTCATAACAATCCATCTTCATATAATAATGATGCTAAGTGAAGTATTTGGCTTATTTTAGTTAGCATATATTTTTCCAACTTCATCTGTGCTGTATTTTCAGAATTTCATTTCTTTTCATGACTGAATAATACCCCCTTCCCTTACATATGCCAAATTTTGTTCGTTCATTCATTCCTTCATTCGTGGGCATTTTGGCTGTTTCCACCTTTAGCTGTTGACTTTTTAAGAAATCTTCAGTTTCACACAGTTACCATTCAATAAAAAAAAAAAAAAAAAAAATCTTCAGTTTCCACAACAGCTATACCATTTTACATTCCCAGGAACAGTGAACGAGGTTCCAGTGTCTTCACTTTCTTGCCAAGACTGTCTTTTACAGTTTTGAAAACATTCATCAAATTATAGACTAGTTCCATAAAAACTATGGGAATAATTCATATTGTCATTACATTAAAAATGACCACTTGTACATTGATTAGTGTAAGAAAAGGTTCGCGTGAGCCGACGTCAGAGCATGTTGGTGCCATCTCCTTGTTTGTGTAGCACAGAGTTGTATTTGTGGCCTGTGAGTTACGACATTACTCATAAAGTCCCGTTCTTAAGTGTAGAATAAACCAAGACAGGCTGATGGTCTGCACTGTCTCCTGCAGCTCCCTGCACTGGCAGCACTTTCTTCTGCCACAGCAACATGTGCATCAATGACTCCTTAGTCTGCAACGGCGTCCAGAACTGCGCCTACCCTTGGGATGAGAATCACTGCAAAGGTGAGTCTGACGCGCACGACGGCTTTTGACAAAACAGTGCCCGTTGCCTTTCATTAAGAAAGACATGACATGTTATTTTTTACAACTGTGCTTAGCATAGCTGCTTTGGCAAAAATGGAAACATATATATAGTTCTTTTAAATGGATCAGAACCCCTTAGGGTGCAGTAAAAGCAAGGGGAAAATATTTGTTCTAAGTCAAACCATTTTTTGCTTACAAACTGTTTTTTACTGTAAGTTGTTCAAAAATGTATCATAGTATTTCCTGCCCTTATTTTCTTACTGTTTTGGAAGCTTGTCATTTGTATTATAAAGATATCTTACTTAGTTTAAAATAAGTGAGAGGTTAGCCTGGAGTGTTGCTCTTTTTTAAATTATGTGGAAACAATTCAATAAAAATCAATTGACAGATACAGTCCTGCAATATAAAAGTATATAAAATATTCTAGGAACTGCTCTTTAAAATTTTTCATTAGGTTCCTATGCTGTCTTCCCAGAGTATACTGTCTGAAAGATAAGTATAGCTCGTGGTAATAGTTGAATGTCATCAAATCACTGTCTCAGAACTAAAGTTCATCGGCCTTTTATTCTCTAAGAGTTCAGTAAATATCTTCATAAGAAAAGGTGATCTCACCTGATAAGATTGTCTTAAAAACTTGACGTGGGGTATTTTGGGTAATCATTCAAAAACAGTGAACTGGTCAGTCTGCCCGTGGTGGTCCTCTGCTCGTGTCCATGGTAGAGTGCTGTGTGTGCACTTACCTGGCCGCTGCACTTACCTGGCCACTGTTGAGCAGCAAGCTGAACCTGATAGACAACAGAGTTTATATTGGCATTCTGTAGTTATGTATTTGATTGGACTTGCAAATTGTGTGCTTTCACCTATCTTGGGAGTGAAGGAACCTAGAGGTTTGTCTTCCCTGTAATCTGTATGGTTCTGTGTTGTAATTGGTTACTGTAACCAGAAGTCATAATAAAGCCATAATAATTGCTTTAATTGTTCAAAAACCCAATTATAAATTTCACTGTCTATGTTTGACCCAAGTGTTCTGCTTTACCTGTAAATACTTTTCAATATGTGCCAGTATTCTTATTAATGAATTTTGAAAACTTTAACATTTCTCTTCCACAGAAAAGAAAAAATCAGGACTGTTTGAACAAATCACTAAAACTCATGGAACAATTATTGGCATTACATCAGGGATTGTCTTGGTCCTTCTCATTATTTCTATTTTAGTACAAGTGAAACAGCCTCGAAAAAAGGTCATGGCTTGCAAAACTGCCTTTAGTAAGACTGGGTTCCAGGAAGTGTTTGATCCTCCTCATTACGAACTGTTTTCACTGAGGGACAAAGAGATGTCTGCAGACCTGGCAGACCTGGCTGAAGAGCTGGACGGCTACCAGAAGGTGCGGCGCCCCTCCTCAGCCTCCCGGTGTGTTCACGACCACCACTGTGGGTCGCAGGCGCCCAGCGTCAGACAGAGCAGGACCAACCTCAGTGCCATGGAGCTTCCCTTCCGGAATGACTTTGCACAACCACAGCCAATGA